GAATTATCTGGAGAAGAGTGATCACAGACCCACTGAGTAGTTTTTATTTCTTATTTATGATCAAGAATGGAATCTACTTATCTCAAAGTTCATTTGGCCTGCTGATACCAAGGGACTTCCCTACCCCCAGCCACCATAAACAATACTTTGTCCCATATGGCAAGACCCTGGGCTGGAGTTCAAGGATTTCGCAGTTGGATTGCTTATCTAAGAGTTCTATGAGTTGGGAGAGGGATGGAGCCAATATTGTGTGGAAACAGAGGCACCCACAGAGAGAGGACATCCTCACGCTGCTGATAGAACTAGTACCTGAAAATAGCTCAACCATCCTGAGGGTCAGCTGAGACAAGGTTTTCCCCAAATCGACATTTTGTGTTACGTGACTTTTTGAACTTGCATTTCTACCCCCCTCACTTTTTTTGGTATATCTAAACTACTACAAGAGTCCCGCCTCAAGACAAACTTTCTGACCCTGGTTTTATGATACTATATTCTTAAAAAAAAAAAAAAAAAAATCACTCAAGAAAAAGAAATTCAAGCTTCTTGCTCAGGCACTGAGGCTCAGCATAATCCAGCCCTACCTCAGGCCCCCAGCTCCTCAGCAAGCCCCAAATGGTCTATGCACGGTCACCCACACGAGCCTGCCCTTTGCTCATGCCCCATGCTCTGCCTGGAATCCCTTCCCCACTTCTGACTACCTATTCACAGTAAGTGCTAAGTAAACATTTTTTCCAAGTGAACAAATTTAAGACCTACCATTTTCAAGGCTCAGTTCAAATTTTAGATTATATACGAACCCTTCCATGACCACCACAGTCTGAAGGTCTCATTTCATCTTCTGAATTTCAGTTATTGCTCATATACTTAACAAGTTCTATGTAATACCTGCTGCGAGGCAGGTATCAGGGTTCAACCCAGAATAGCTACCATCCTGCCCTGAAAGAGCCCGGAGTCCAGTGGGGAGAGCTATGAAGCATAACTGCTGAACAACGGTGTGGGTGCTGGAATATTTAAATACAAAGCCTTTCTTATTGTTTTATGTATTTATTGAGCTCCTACTAGGATTAGCCTAGGTACTTTTTGTGGGTTCTGATTCAATCCTGATGGGCCATTTTACAAGGAAAAAGAAAAGAGACTCTGAAAAGTTAACTTGGTTTTCCCTGGCTATTTGGATAAGCAGAGTCTGGATTCAAACCCAGTTGAGTCTGGACTCCTTTCACCATCTACCCTGCCTCCCAAGCCTGAGGTGTAGAATGTATTCTGGAAATACGTGTAGTCAGACTGGGAAGAGGAAGCCATCCCAGGCAGAAGGAACAGCACGAGATGCATTCCCAGAATGGCAAATGGTTCAGGAAGGTCAGAGCACAGTTACATGTTGAAAACAAGAAGTAGGTTAGACTGTGAAGCACCCCGGACTCAATCCAGTAGACTATAGAGGAGCTTCAGGGTCCATGTCGTGTGTCCGCAGCAAGATAAGCTTTATATGTGTGTGTGTGTGTGTGTGTGTGTGTGTGTGTGGGCGGCTGGGGAATGGAATCTCGCTCTTGTGGCCCAGGCTAGAGTGCAGTGGTGCGATCTCGGCTCACTGCAACCTGCGCCTCCTGGATTCAAGCAATTCTCCTGCCTCAGCCTCCTGAGAAGCTGGGATTGCAGATGCCCACCACCACGCCCGACTACTTTTTGTATTTTTATTAAAGACAGGGTTTTGCCATGTTGGCCAGGCTGGTCTCAAACTCCTGACCTCAAGTGATCCACCCACCTCAGCCTCCCAAAGTGCTGGGATTACAGGCGTGAGCCATCGTGCCCAGCCAAGATAAGCTTTCTTAAGAGCAGGCACCACAGCCCCTTCCTGTATTTTCACACCATCAAGTTTGTATTCAATACAACTGGTGGAAAGCCACGGGCTTTTCTGGATCATTTAGTTTCATGTCCCCAGTGGGACCCCGTAGTTCTATGTAGCTTTATGAATGCCAACTATCTGTGCCTCCAACAAGGCTTGGCAACTCAGAAACCAGTGACCACCTCAGACCAACAGCAAACCTCCTCTAGTTGCCGCTAAGTGGGCTAGGGCTATCTTTCCTACTTATCAAAACTCCTGCCATTCCCTGGATTCCTTCATTTCCGGGTGTCATGTAATAGCAAAGCTGTCTGAAGATTATCTCAATAGCACTTAAGATGTGCTAGGCACTATGTGCATTCATTTAACCCTTGTAACTTCTGGAACTAGATTCTAATATGCCCATTTGACTGATGAGGAAATAGAAGCTTAGAGAGTAAAAGTCAGTCTGATCTGGAGTGCAGGTTTCCAATCCCAGTGCTCATTTTCTTAATCACTTAGCCATGATACCCACCAGGCAAAGAGATTAAGGAAATCTGGGCAGTCCCTCATGAAGGACCAAAGAAAGAAGTTGCTGAGATCTTGAGGAAAACATGTCTAGCTCCAGCTTGCCTCTCTCATCGCATCCCTATGCAACGAATGCAAGAATCATTTCACTAAGATGTGACCAGAAAAACCCATTCCCACATGATTAGACCCTGGACTTCAGACGCCCTGAGAGAGTATTGGAGTCCTTCAACCTCCTTTCCTGAGGAACACCTTATCAAAGTCATCACCATCTGCATCTATTTTTCCAGCTCCTTCCCTGCCACACCAATTCCATTTATGCAAATGTGTTTGTGCCAGGTAGTGCTCAAGGGGCTGGTAATACAGCAAGTAACACAAATGATAAGATCCCTGCAGTCTTGAAGCTTAACATTGGCAAAGGTGACAAGTAAAAGAGATGATTTTTTTTTTTCTCGAGATGGAGTCTCACTCTGTCACCCAGGCTGGGGTGCAATGGCACAATCTTGGCTCACTGCAACCTCCACCTGCCAGGTTTAAGCAATTCTCCTGCCTCAGCCTCCCAAGTAGTTGGGACTACAGACATGCGGCACCATACCCGGCTAATTTTTGTATTTTTAGTAGAGATGGGGTTTCACCATGTTGGCCAGGCTGGTCTCAAACTCCTGACCTCAGATGATCCACCTGCCTCGGCCTCCCAAAGTGCTGGGATTACAGACATGAGCCACCACACCTGGCCAAAATGAGATGATTTCTGATGGTACATGCTATGAATGATAGAGATACTGGTGGCGTGGAGATGGGAGGCTGTTTTAGAAAGTCCTTCCTGGGAGGTGACATTTGAATTCATACCCAAATGACAAGGAGCTACCCTTCAAGGCTCCAGGATCTACCTTATACTTGGCCAACTGAAAAAGACATTAATGATGATCTGGTCTCAACTTCTTATTTGTCAGTGAGCAAACAGAGGCTCAATGAGATTAAAAGACTAGGACAAGGTTTCCCAACTGACTAAAATTTGTTTCTTCTTACTATTCTATAGAGACTTTCAATATACACATTTGAAATCTAGGCATCTTAAGTTGTGTTTTTAACACATTCATGTTTTTTTTTGTTTTTGAGACAGGGTCTCACTCTGTCACCCAGGTTGGAGTGCAGTGGTGCAATCATGGCTCACTGTAGCCTCGACCTCCTGGGCTCAAGCAACCCTTCCATTTCAGCCTCCCAAGTAGCTGACACCACAGACAAGTGCCACCATGCAGGATTAATTATTATTTTTTGTAGAGATGGGGTCTCACTTCATTGCCGAGGCTGGTCTGGAACTCCTGGCCTCAAGTGATCCTCCCACTTGGGCCTCCCAAAGTGCTGGGATTACAGGCATGAGCCGCCATTACCTGACCACACATTTGTACTTATAATTTTATTTTCAGTACACTCTTGGGGAAAAAATGACAGGCCTTCACTTGATCGATAATGAAATCGAGCCTCCAGTTGGCTGAGTAGTTTGTCTAATGGCCTGTCACTAGCAACTGAATGAAAACTCTGATGATTTGTATTCTAGTCCTGTGTTCTTTCACCTGGGTGAGAAGTAGCTGCCTAGTCAGTGGTCTGTGAATATAAGACATCATTACCAGCAACTTCACACCCTATGGTGCAAAGAACATACAAAAGTCAAAGATAAGCACAAATTACTATCGTAACACAGAAATTCAAAGACCCTGAGTAATTTGCTGCAGACTTCAGATGACTGGACAATCATGGCCTGAGGCAGTCCCCGCTATCCCCTCTTGCCCTCTGGGTACAAGACTGAAAGCTGCCCTGGTGCCACATTGCAGAGATTTTAGTAAATAAAGAAGAATGTGTTTCTCAGAGCCAACCCCCAAATCTTCATAGCTGGATCCAACCCAGACCGGGAGTCTTCATAGCGAGTGAACCCTTAGGTGAGTGTCATATTTAAGTCTCATGACTCTTCTGCTTAAGAAATAAACTACTAGTGGTTCCCAAACCTACCTGCACTGATCAGAATGATCTGGGAGAGTTTTCAAATAAAGATCTTTCGATTCACACAAGACCTGGAGACTTAGAAATGCCAAAGGTGAGAGCCTGGGGAATGTAGGCTTTAACATTCAGCCAGCCTGGAAATTCACTGGTTTTTCTCATGTCTTAGTGCTGCAGTGTGATACAGAGAGGAAAGACGCCTGCTTTTATTATCAAGTGGGCAAGCTAAGTTAGGCTGCATCCTTTAAGGGCTGCTTCCAGAAGAGTCTTCTCTGCTACCCAAGGCCCCTGTACCAGTAGGAAGGTCCTGGGCGTATCCGCCTGGTTACCTGTGAAGTCTGTTGTCTCATTCCCTTTGGCTGCACATCAAACCCCCGCACGACCCAGGGAAAGCTTTTTCTGAGATCGGCTTGCCAATTTCTTTGTGAAGCAGACCCCAGCCTGCAAGGGTGAGGCGCCTCTCCAGCAGAAAGAATCTCAAAGTGTGGATCATCCCTCACCCGCAACCACCGCCAAAGGGGCCTGGCTCCCTCCCCATGGGATTCTTCTCCGCCCTAGACAGGCAGCTACTGGCTTGGAAAAAGAGAAAGAGAAAAGGAAAAGAAAGAAGGTAATTCAGGCCTCAGTGGCCAGCGCCCTCAAGGACACGAGCAGTTCTTACCTGGAGATGGAAGAGGAGCCGCTCTGTTCGTTCGCTCAGGAATTCTGTCTCTGCAGGTGAGCACTAGGCTTGCAACTCGCTGGACTTTGAACAAAGGTTGATTTAAAAGCTAATGTATTTAACAGGGACATGTGGTCTGAATTCAAGTGACCTCTGTCCTGCTTCCTGCCAGCTGGCTGGGCCCTGAGCTAGAAAACCTGACAAACCTCAGCAAACCAAATGCTCTGGCCCACCTGCCTGGCCCTGCGGGGAGGCTGCTGCTCGCCAGACACTCCCAGAGAATGAGGAGGAGAGAGGGGGCGAAGGACAGCCAGAGAGGAGGTGCCTCCGCTTTCCTTGGTACTCTCCCTTTGGCAGATGCCTTGGTCACACCCAACCAACCCCCAATCCTGTTAGGGTCCTCCAGTCCCCCATCCCGGGGTCAGGGCCGAGACTCATACAGGAGCATCCTCAATCACTGAGGCCTCCTCAAGGAGCAGTAGCCTGTAACACTCCCACCCAGGAGGCCAGTAAGCCCCAGGAAATGGGGCCAAGCGTTCAGGGCACCCATCCTGCTTCCCTCCACCCTGGATTCTCACTTGTGTGCTCCCTAGGAGTTTAGCAAGCAAAGCCCTTGCTCTTATGTCCCAGGTTTCCTTCTTCTTATCCACTCTCTCCCCTCTCTTTTTTTCTTCTCTTTCTCACCTGACGGTGCTCTTTCTGTTCTCCAGCCTAGCGATAATTGTCTTCGCTTCCCACACTCAGAGTCTCTCAGGCAAGCCCAGCAGGGTAGGTGGAAGGCATTTTTACAAACCCCTCTATCCTGCTGCCTTGCTGCCCAAGAAGTAGGCTGGTGCCGGTGTGCTCAGCCCCCAGCCCTAGCCGCGATCAGCAGCTGATTCCTATCAGCAGCACCCACAGACAGTTCTAGCACTGGCCTTCTCACTGACCTGGATCCTCAGCCCACACTGCAAATCAGGGCAAGAGATTGCTCCCGGCACTCAGGCAAAGCAAACCACAGGCCGAGGACTGCGTGACCTCACCCCTCTTCCACCCACACTGCAAAGGCCATTTGTCTTTGCTGGGCCTTGGCTTGGCCCCCAACAAAGACATGACCTGAGCCAGTGGATAAACGGTTTAAAATGACAAACACTGAGCGGCTTCCTCATACCAGCTTATCTTCCTCCACCTCGGGGATAAGCCCTCTTGGCCTCCTCTATATCTTTCAAAGCAGAAGGCAGAATGGGAAAATCTGGATTTTAGGATCAGAACACCTGAGTTCACTGTAATCCCAGCACTTTGTGAGGTCGAAGCGGGCAGATTGCCTGAGCTCAAGAGTTCAAGACCAGCCCGGGCCACATGGTGAAACCCCATCTCTACAAAAGTTAAAAAAAAAAAGCCAGGCATTGTGGTACATGCCTGTAGTCCCAGCTACTCTGGAGGCTGAAGTGGGAGGATCACTTGATTGAGAGGCAGAGGTACAGTGAGCGGTGATCATGCCACTGCACTCTAGCCTCAATGACAGAGGGAGACCCTGTCTCAAAAAAAAAAAAAAAGAAAGAAAGAAAGAACACCTGAGTTCAATTCTGACGCCACCGTTTCCCAGGTGTTTGATCCAAAGTAATTCAGTTTTAGCTCTCTGGGCCTCACTTACCTTCATCACATATAAATAGCTGTTATTGTATGGTTTTTAAAAAATAGCGGGTTTTTTTTTGTTTTGTTTTTTGTGTTTTTTGAGATGGAGTCTCACTCTGTTGCCCAGGCTGAAATGCAGTGGTGCAATCTCGGCTCACTGCAACATCCGCTTCCTGAGTTCAAGTGATTCTCCTGCCTCCGCCTCCCGAGTAGCTGGGATTATGAGAGCCCACCACCATGCCTGACTAATATTTTTGTATTTTTAGTATAGACAGGGTTTCACCATGTTGGCCAGGCTGGTCTCGAACTCCTGACCTCAAGTGATCCACCCGCCTTGGCCTCCCAAAGTGCTGGGATTACAGGCCTGGTGTATTCCTTTTGTATCTGGTTTATTTCATTCAATGTGATGTTTGTGAGGTTCACTCATGTTGCTGTGAGTAGCCGTAGTTCATTTGTTTTCATACTAGGATTGCATTTACATAATGTCCAAATATAGGGCAGAACTTTGGGGGATTCCCGGTTAGGTGGTAACACATGACCGCAACTTCTGGTATACTGGCAAGATTCTAATTCTTGAGCTAAGTGAAGGTTACACAGGTGTTTAAGATTAATTATTGAGCTATGCATTTTTGTTTCATGCACTAATTCTGTATAAATAATAATTAAATTATATTGAAATTTTAAACATTACAATATGTGTATAGCATACTGGAGTAAGAAGAAGCTCTTCAAGGCTAGAAGTGACCTGCCTGAGGATTTCAGCTGTGCTCAGCTCTGCATGATCTATTCAAAAGTGGAAGGGATCAGTATCGTGGCATGCCAATAACCTACATGTGGCACACCTGGGCAATCTGGTCAGGAAGATTTGATCTCTCCACTTCAATTTTTAAAAATTGGCTGGGCACAGTGGCTCATGCCTATAATCTCAGCACTTTGGGAGGTTGAGGTGGAGGAATGCTTGAGTCCAGGAGTTTGAGACCAGCCTGGGCAACATGGTGAAACCCCATCTCTACAGAAAATACAAAAATTAGCTGGGTGTGGTGGTGCACACCTATAGTCCCAGCTACTCAGGAGACTGAGGCAGGAGGATTGATTGAGCCTGCGAGGTCAAGGCTGTAGTGAGCCACGATCATGCCACTGGATGCCAGCCTGGACTACAGAGCGAGACCCTGTCTCAAAAAAAAAAAAAAAAATTGGTAAATATATAACAAGGCGCGGGTCAAGCTGAACCACATTGGAGCGAGAGGGGACAGGCGGAGATCGGACCATCCTGGCTAACACGTAAACCCGTCTCTACTAAAAAAAAAAAAAAAAAACTAGCCGGGGGTGTGGGCTGTAGTCCAGTACCGGAGCTGAGGAGAATGGCGTGACCGGGAGCGAGTTGCGTGAGCTGAATCCCATGCACTCAGCTGGCACAGAGCAACTCCTTCAAAAAAAAAAAAAAAAAATTCATAACAAAAAAAATTACCATTGTAATAATTTTGAGTATACAATTCAGTGGCATTAAGTACTTTCACACTGTTGGGCAACCATCACCACCATCCATCTCCAGAACTTTTTTATCTTCCCACAGTGAAACTGTGTAGCCATTGAACATGATTTTCTATTCCCTCCTCCCCAGCCCCTGGCAACCACCTTTCTACTTTGTTTCTACAAATTTGACTACTCTAAGCACCTTCTATGTGTGGAATAGTATACTATTTGTTCTTTTGTGACTGGCTTATTTCACTTAGCAAATGTCTTCAAAGTTCATTCATGTTGTAGCACATGTCAGAATTGCCTTCCTTTTGAAGGGTGAATAATATTCCACTGTGTACATACACCACATTTTATTTATTCATCCGTCACGGAATGAATTGCTACCACCTTTAGGCTGTAGTCAATCACACTGCTGTGAAAATGGATGTGCAAATATTTGTTCAAGTCCCTGTTTTCAAATCTTTTGGGTATTTGCCCAGAAATGGAATTGCTGGATCATACGTTTAATTTCTTCAGGAACTGCCATACTGTTTTCCATGGTGTCTGCACCATTTTACCTTCCCACCAGCAACATAGAAAGGTTCCAATTTCGCCATATTCCCACGAACACTTGTTATTTTCTGTTTTTTGTTGGTTGGTTTGTTTGTTTTTTAAATGATGGCCATTTTAATGGGTTTGAGGTGACATCTCATTGTGGTTTTGATTTCCATTTCCTTAATGATTCATGATGTTGAGCATCTTTTCATGTGCTTACTGGCCATTTGTATCTTCTTTAGATAAATGTCTATTCAATTTGCCCATTTTAAAAATCAAGTTGTTTTTGTTGTTATTGAATTGTATCATCTCAATTTTTCTTTATTATAAAACAAAGACTCAGAGAGGTGAAGTGACTTAGCCAAAGTCACCTCAGGCAGAAACATGGCTAAAAACACTGCTCTTGCTTTCATGGCCAATGCCCTTTCTACTATACCAGTCTGCCTGGTTTAATGGGTATCCTCACATTTTTCTCCAACTTCAGGTCTGATTGTCCCAGTACGCATGTCCTACTACCCTGTCTTTTTAGTAGCTCATTAACTTACTCTGAGCCTGGAATTTTAAGCTCCAGTGGTTTTCTCTCCCTGTCTAGAGTCAGTATTTATGACAGGCTCCCTTTCCACTCTCTCTGTTACTCTGGCCTCATCCCACCTTAAGTGGCAGCCTGTGTACTCTGCATACCTTTGGAGGAATTTATTAGGCCAGGGTCCAGATGCAAGACTGAGATAAATGTTTTACAGCAGTGTGGGTGACAAGCTGGAGACACGGCAATGCCACTTGGCTGCAGCACACACTGGCCCCACATGACTGCTGACTGGAGCTTTCTAGTTCTTTTCAGTAACCAGGTGTCAGGACAGGGGAGGCCTGAGGATCCTTGGAGAGCTGTGAATTATTAACACTTGCAAGCTGGCTGCCAAGGATATCCGAGTAGTAATTCACTTGCTCCTCCTTTTCCCAGATGAGGGGTCAGAATACACCACCCTTTTCCACCACAAGAAAAAGGCACAGAACAAGAACATGCCATGTTCTGGGTTCCTGCATGTAGCAAGGTCTGGTCTTGGCACTCTTGGAGTATTGGTTAAAAGGATATTTGGTTGCCCCTTTGTAAGAGATACAGAAACAATCAGTGGTCCTTGGGCAGTTTGGATTCTGCCTTAAAAAGCCAGACCCTCAAGGGCCCCCAACGGTCCAGAATGGGGAACAGGAGAAGAGCAAGAAAAGTGTCAGGGATCTCAAAGCCACAGCCTCAGCCCGACCTCATCCCTCTGGGGACCATCCCATCCAGAGGTAAAGGGTCAGTGAGAAAGAAGCAGGAACCATGAACAGCCTAGTGGCCCAAGTCTGTAGCTTGATTTAAAAGACATCCCTCGGCCGGGCGCGGTGGCTCACACCTGTAATCCCAGCACTTTGGGAGGCTGAGGCGGGTGGATCACCTGAGGTCGGGAGTTCGAGATCAGCCTGGCCAACATGGAAAAACCCCGTCTCTACTAAAAATATAAAATTAGCCGGGCGTGGCAGCGCATGCCTGTAATCCCAACTACTAGGGAGGCTGAGGCAGAAGAATCGTTTGAACCCAGGAGGCAGAGGTTGCAGTGAGCCGAGATCGCACCACTGCATTCCATCCTGGGCAACAAAGCGAGACTCCATCTCAAAAAAAAAAAAAGACATCCTTGCCAGGCGCAGTGGCTCACGCCTGTAATCCCCACATTTTGGGAGGCCAAGGTAGGTAGATCACCTGAGGTCAGGAGATTGAGACCAACCTGGCCAAAATGGCAAAACCCTGTCTCTGCTAAAAATACAAAAAAAAAAAAAAAAAAAAAAAAAAAAAATCCAGTCGTGGTGGCAGGTGCCTGTAATCCTAGCTACTTGGGAGGCTGAGGCAGAAGAATTGCTTGAACCTGGGAGGTGGAGGTTGCAATAAGCTGAGATCGTGCCATTGCACTCCAGCCTGGGCAAGAGACCAAGACTCTGTCTCAGAAAAAAAAAGACATTGCACCTCAAAGTATTGCTTCTCCCAGAATGGTTCCAGTGCCCCCTGACATTCTAGCTTGGAGAGCAAACTAATTGTGCCCATCCTGTTTTTTCTGTTGCTTAGAATTCTTGACAGGATGCCGGGCGCGGTGGCTCACACCTGTAATCCCTGCACTTTGGGAGACCGAGGCAGTTGGATCACTTGAGATCAGAAGTTCAAGACCAGCCTGGCCAACATGGTGAAACCCCGTCTCTACTAAAAATACAAAAAATGAGCTGGGCGTGGTGGTGGGCACCTGTAGTCCCAGCTA